GGGGCCAGCCTCGGCGCCGGACCTGGCACCTGGGCATGGCAGAGGGCGTGCCCGCCCCATGGGCACTCGCCGTCCCGCTGCCCAGTCCTGGAGGGTGGGCGCGCGTCTGGAGGGCGGAGCGTAGGGGGCGCCGGGGGCTCTGGCCTGCTTCCCCCACCCTGCCCCGCCTCTCACGCAGGTGGCCCCGTCCAGGGCCAGACCGCCCCTCAGATGCTGGCCAGCTGTCAGACCCGGGCCCAGCACCCCACACCCTGCACCCACACCCCAGAGCATCCATCTCAACAGCCACCCCGGGCTCCTGGAGGAGCGGCCACCAGGCTGGGCTCAGAGACGTCGGCTCGCTGCAGCTGAGTCCACACAGGTGTCCAGGGAGGGCGCGAGAGGAGCAGAGGTCACACCCCAGGCGCCTGGCAAGGCTGGACAAGGGGATGACGGGCCCGTGCAGAGCCTCAGGCTGGCCCTGGACAGCTCAGATGACCCCTGTGAAAGGGCCCCATGAGCAGGTGTGGACGGCCAGCACATGTCCAGGCTGCAAGGGACGTGCGTGCAGCCACAGGGGCGCGGGTGAGGCCTTCACCCACCCCTGCAGGGCAGAGACGGGCCCACTATGGGGTGGGCCTGAGGGCATGCACACCCCGAGGCTACACCAGCCCCAAGCAGGCGCCCAGGGGGCCCAGCTGTGCTCCCCGCCCCCCCCCAGGGCGCCAGGACAAGGCCGCCCGCTTCCCGCATCTAGAGAGACAGCAGGGGCCGGGCCACCTCGCAGCAGAGGGGTGAGGCGGCAGCCTGCACCCACACCCCAGGGCCCCGGGGAGCAGCGGGCGCCGCCGCGGCCGCTCACGTGGAAGTCCGTGGTGTTGAGGATGTGCCGGCCGTCGGGGCTCCAGCAGGAGGACACCAGCCCCGCCGAGCCCTCGTCGATCCTGCAGTGCCACTCGGGCTGCTCCAGGGACCACACCTGGCGCGCAGCAGGGCGGCGTCAGTGGGCCAGCGAGGGCCAGCCACAGCCCGCGGGGCCCCGCCCTCCGGTCAGGCCCCGGCCTGGAGGCGCTCGGGGCAGTCCCACGCCCAGGACGCCCCTCGTAGGCCGCGGAGAGCCAGCAGGACGTCACAGCAGACTGACCGCACGGCCTTTCACCCAAACCGGGAGAGGCGGCGGGCGGCCGCGTGGTACCTGCACCAGCCCCCGGCGGTACATGGCGCACAGGATGAAGAGGGAGTCGGCCGACCACTCGACGTGCTGCACTTGGTCCAGGCATGTGTACAGCTGGACAATCTGCAGGGTCTGCGCATCCCGGACCACCAGCCGGTACTGGACGCAGGAAGCCTGGCCGTGGGAGGGAGGCACTGAGGCCCCACTCTCCGGCCAGCCCGCGCCCTCCAGCTCCTCCTGCCTGGTGGCCACTCAGTGCCCCAGGCGCCCGCAGAGGCAGCTACTCAGCCCAGATGCACGCTGGCCAGCTGACCGCTGGCCCTTCCTACCTCCGGAAGCAGACAGGAAGTAGGGCGGGAAAGCCCCTCTGGGCACAAAGGGCGCCCTCTCCCAGTTTTACCACCTTTGGGCCGTTTATGTGGAGAGAAGCCCTGCCCAAACTTGGGGCCCCCCCACCTGAAAGGTGCGATCTGGGGTTCAACTGTGCCCGTGGGGGGATGCTCCACAAGTTCCCCCATCTACTGTGAGATCACAGGAGCAGACTGGCCTTTGCCTGGATCGGAAACTCTGGGGTACCCTAAGGCAGGAGGCGCGCCGTCCCCAGAGGCCACTCTGCGGGGCTCTGGGCTGGGCTGGCCACCAGAAACCCAGACGAGCAGGAGGAACTCGGGGTGTTCCAGGGTGCCCCTTCCTTGCTGCCCACGGGAGGGGCCCCATAAACAGTGGGGTGCAGAGTACTGCAGACGGTGAGCGCATCCACGCTGGAGAGCGCCCCACTCCTCAGGGCCCCACAGCTGCGCCCTGTCCACCTGCCATCCAACCCTTCAGACACGGAGCCGCCGCCCCAACTCTGCACCCGGGAGGGCCCTGGGTCCCCCCGACCTGCAGACAGACCGGCGAGAGGCGTGGAGCCTGGGCCGCCCCGTGGCTGGTGTGGGGCGCAGCTGGGGGTGACGGGGCCCCACACCGTGCCCGGGCCAGGGGCTGTTACTGCCGCTCCCGCAGGCTGGAGGAAGCTTTGCCTGGGGACACTCGTCTGCGGACTTGGCTCTTTAATGTTCACTGCTTCGCCTGCGGCTTTTAAAGTCAACGGACACTACCTGCCCCATGCGTTTTCTATGGAAAAGCAAGCCAGGGCCTCCCTGGGGCACCCGGCTGAAGTGCGGCCCCAAGCGCCAGTCCGATCGCCGGGGAGGGACCCAGGGCGCAGCGGACCCCTCCGGTCTCCCGCCCTCCGCCCGCTCTGCTCCCCCCTGCTCTGGTGAAGCACCCCAGTTCTGTGTGCGCACAGAAATCTTCGAAAAGAAACAAGAAAAAGGGAGCGAGACCACAGCGGCAGCAAACACGCCGCGGTCTTCTACCCCGAGGCTTGAAAACTGCAGTGACGGCCGCTTCTGGCGAGCGGCGCCAACCCGGGCCAGCCGGAATGGCCGCAGACACCGGCCGGAACCGGGCCGGAACCGGGCCACTGGTCGGAGGCGGCCGAGCGCGCCGCGG